TTCGCCGTGAGTTGTTGCACACGGACGGGGCGGGGGGGGGCGGTTTAGTTTTTCAAAACTTTACTTTCCTGTATGATATTGCTACACTACCTCACCCACTAGGGTACTTAATTCTAATCCTACTTTTGAGTTTTGAATCACAAACTCCACAATATCTTGACTGAAATTCCTAAATCATTTAAGTTGCAATCCTGTCCCCACTTACCCAAAACTAGCGGGACATTACTTCTGGATAGAAAAGCCTAGAGCTGGTCTAAATATAATGTATTCATTCAACTTATTCATTCATAGTAATATCAAAGATAGAACTGTTTTAGAAGGGGTGAATTGCAGTATTTTTGGAACCTATTTTCATAATGTGTCTACATTACAAATTATTGTTGTTTAACTTGAACTACAATATAGCTAGAGTTTAGGGGAAAACATATACTTAAAACAAAACTCCAGCAATTCATAAAGTATTAGCAATGTCATATATCTGACTTTTAAATAGGATACCATAGGATTCAAAAGAGAAAACAATGTCATGTTTCAAGTTGGGTCCATTTATGTAAAAAATCAAGTGAACCAAATGAAATCAGAGTAATGTACGAAATGCCTTAGAGACCTATGGAGAACATGGCCCAGGGGCTAGCAGGACAACTAGGAAGAAATGGTCCCTGCTATCAGGATACTGCTGGCCCAGGTCCCAGTGGTGACTCTCCTGAGCACCTTCCAAGTCTGCAAGAATGACAGCAACAGTCGTTGAAGAGGCAGAGGACAGAGGACAAAAGTTTTAGACTGCAGGAAAGAGTCCTTGAATCTAACAGTCTACTTAGGAATTGCTGTTCCTCTCAATTTGAAATTACCAATGTAATTTAGCTGGTTTAAGATGAAGCCTGGGATATAAAGTTGAGGTTGAGGCCATACTGTATATGCCTTACGTGCTTCTGAGACCAGTTACCAGAATTCTTCCCTCATTCCCTCAGAGTAATTAACAGGGACTTAGACTATGTTTTCTCTTAAATCTTCTTGCCTGGAATTCTTGCTATCTCAGCTGACACTTGGCCTCCTGAGACCCCCTGTGTTTGCTTTATTCCCTGGCTTGTTGTTGTTTAGCTAGTAGCTCTATCTGCCTGCCAAATAAGTTATTTCTCTGGGAGAACAGGACAGATTAATATATATCATGAAAGAGCTCACAGTTCAGTACTACAGCATATACTTTGTAGATTCAGTTGCTGATATTTCTGTTTAGAAGGATCTCCTATAGCAGAGCTAAAAAGATTGCTGCTGCCAAAATTTAGATAATTGCAAACTGAAGTAGATACCGTGGAGCTAGATTGACAGTGGTTTAATGTATATGGGTTTATAGTTACTGTCCACTAGTTTCCTAAGTATAAGAATTTGCAAAGGTAAAGTGATTAGGTTTAATATCATTTACATGAGAAAATTTTTGGGTGGTGGCATGGTGTCTTAGTAGCAGCTTATACATATAGAGCATTTATATATATAGAGAGAAGATGACTAAAATTCCTGAAGCAGATTATCTATCTTTTGGCTAAATTTAAAATTCCCAGCTACAAGCTGTTGTTTTTCATGATTTGCCAAGTCCTTACCTCAGATTTCTACTGTGAATTACACTCTCAAGAAACATCAACAGCTTTTTTTTTTCCTAGCTGGGAGAATGTAATAGGTGTTGGAGTGATATACCCAATCATATAGTTGAGCCCGATGAGAAGAATGGGAAGAAATGAACAACAAAGTGAAGATCCCAAATATGTTTTTTTTTCTTGATCTTCTTTGAACTACTGTAGGGTTTCTCGCCAATTCATTTCTCATTGTGGAGAAAGGATAATTGTTTTCACTATTTCCCCAGTGATATTCCTACAAGAAAAATATCATCCCCCAAATTCAAATTCATATCTTGTTTAAAACAGAAATAAACTACTTAATTTATTTTATAGGAATGCAAGCGACGAATGAATTATCTTCTGGATGTTTATTTATTTGAACCAGAAGATTTGACACTGAATGCTACTGTTCTGCTGTGGCCTCAAAACATTAATCCTATCTTTGATGAAAATGATGAAGTAAATATAAACTTTTTTATTTTACATGCTACATTGTCTGAGAAAAAGTTTAAATTGCAGTTTTGTAAATATGTCAGCTTTAAACTTTTAAATTTGAAGTTTGTGTTAGTCAGATTTAGCATTACAGACCAAATAAATCATGAACGGTATGTTTGGATTGACTCAATATGAAGTGATTTAATAAAGTGAGATAATGATATCCATAAATGCGCTCCATTTACTTCTTCTCTGTCTTATAGATTATAGAAAGGTCTAAACGGAAGGGTGAAAGTGAATTATTAGCCAAACGTGAGAAATTGATAATGGAGGTAGAAAGGCAGATTCGTCGTATGCATGAATTCACAGAATACTCCGATTTGGACCGCATGCACCAGGTTTGTGACACTTGGAATAATTTATGTTTAGACTTTACACAAGGAAGATACACAGTGGAAAAATAGCATCAAAAAAGAATTAGCTATATTGACAGTGAACAAAGAATTACAATGATGAATCTTAATGTTCTCTCAAGCTTAGTAAATTAAATTCAGTTGCTGATAGTCCTATTAAAACGTTGCTATTCTACTATTAACATAAACGTATTTCATTATTTAAATGGTAGCATTAAGGTGTTAGCATCAAAGTTAAAAGTCCTGGAGCAGTCATAGCTGGTGAGATAAAGATTAATATTCTTTGGATTTATATGCAGGATAGTAGCACATTTTGCATCTTTGCTACAAGATGATTTAATGGGCTTATGACATTTGTACACCTAAGTTCTGTACAGGAGTTGCAATAGAAATGAATGTTGAATGTTTATCTGGAAGATGTTTGCTGACAAAATATTGTTGTTGGAATGTCAGGAACATGCTATATCTCTCTTCAAAAGAAGGATTGAGATGGTAATAAATGTAAACCAAAATGATTTCTTGCTTTGTCCAGGTTTTTATATAAGGAATCTGAATACAGATGAACAAACTTGTTGATTTCAGTTTTGTTTTGTTTTGAAATAGCATTTGTATGTACTTGGATTCTCATTTCTCTAAATGTGATCAATTTATTTTCTGGAATTTGGAATTTCTAATGACAGATAAAAATCTATTTTCAGTATGTGACTGACATGAGAACGTTGCAGAAACGCATACAAGATGCTGATGAAACAGTTACTTTTATTAATAAAGAAGAGAAGCTTTTAAATTGGGAGCTGACTGAATATCCAGATTTGGAGACCTTGAAAGTTAGCATTGAGCCATATCAGAAACTTTTTGTTTTTATACTGAAGTGGCAGCGGACTGAAAAACGGTAAGTGTACAGATATTTAAAGGGAAGAATAACTAGTATCTATGAAGTGTTTTCATTTATCTAAATTCCATAGTGGTTATATGATTCTTGCTAAATGAGTCTGTGATTTTCATTCTTTTATAATTTACATGTCGGATTTTGATTATTATTTAGTGTGTAAGTATAATTGAGATGAGTTTAATTAACTTACTGGATGCAAACCCATATTATTAATAAAGGTATCTTATCCAGTCACTGCAGGCGATGGCAATATTTCTGAATTTTTTGTCATAGTGCTGCATTCACACTGTCTCTAATTTGCAAAATAAGTTGATACTCACCACAAAAACCAATGATTAGAAGGTGTGCATTCAGAAATTATGAACTATTGCTCAGTACATGAGAATATCTGTGTCTTTCCCATTGTACTCAGTGTTCAGTTTATGGACAAGAGATGGTCTTCTTCATCAACAATGTCAAACCCCCTTCTTCCCAGACCCAGGCAACAGTATGGAATGACCAGAATACTTTATTCTGGTTTCTTCAATGTAGCCTCCTGTAGGTAACATTATCAGAAAATTGAGGAGAAATACACTAAATGAAACTTTTTAAATTCAGTTTGTGTTCCCCAAGATTACAATGATTTTACAAGGTGTGCATGGGAGAGTTACTGATCACTCACAAAAGTTTTACAATAGAATTTTGAGGGTAAACCTTACCACTTTGTTCTCACTGTACAGCCCATTTCTAGTACTCAAGAAAGATGTTCAGAACCTCCTATGCAAAAGGATAATAGAATTGCTTTCCAATATTCAGGTTTACATCCGTTTCATCCCTCCTATTTCACATTATTGAAGGAGGACATTGAGATGGCTTTAGACCAGTCTTTGGGACCTCAGTGACTTTATAAACTGCAAATAGTTCAATGAAACATGAAGCACAGGCCTTCCAGAAAATTTTGGAAATTTTGCTAACATTGTTCTCCTTCAGAGGGTTGAGGAAGGCAAAGCAAGATCAGCTGGCCTTGTTTTGATATACAGCAATTATGGGAAAGATTTAGTCGAGGAAGTGGAAGTAATAGGAAATTGGGAAAAATAATCCATGTAGTACTCAAGTTCTTGATTTTAAAGGAAACTAAAACAATATAGTCAAATGCATATTTTTATTGAAACTCTAAATAAATTTTATCTAAATGGATTTCAATCAATTCAGAGCAATGATAAGTAGGATCCAATGGCAAGAGAAGCTAGTTGGAAAATTGCTCAAGATGAAGAAACTAAAAGCATAATTATGAACAATTGCAATAAGGAAAATGAAACAGAGGTCAGCAGGAGAAGCCAATGTGGCTACACAAAAAGCAGAGTCAAGTTCTAAAAAGGGTTTCTTTAAATATGTTAAAAAAGAAAGAAAAACAGAAAAAAGGAAAAGAAAAAGAAAAACCTACTCAGTGAAGATTGGAAAATACTAACAGATAGCAAAGAAAAGGCAGAGCTATTCAACACCTATTATGGTTCAGTCTTCTCCAACAAAGTATGAGTTCCACTAGGATACTGTGAAGAGCAAGTTGAAAGGATCAGGACTGAAGCTTGAGATTGATAAAAACATGTCATGGAATACTTCTTCACTTTGAATGAGTAAGTCTCCAAGTTCAGGTGAATTGCACTTTAGGGAATTGAAAGAACTAACTAGTAGTTTGGCTGAACTTTTATGTAGTATCTTTGAGAGTTCCTGGAGAACTAGTGAAGTATGAGGTGATTGAAGGCAAACTGAGATTGCCCATATCTTCAAAAAGGCAAAAAAGGAAGATTCAGCCAACCACATAGAAGTCAGTCTGATACCTGGCAAGATTCTAGAATAGATTAAAAAAGAAATCCATCTGTAAACATCATGAAAACAATACAATAATTACCAGAGATCATTATGGATTAGTCAAGAACAAGTCTTGCCAGACAAATCATAATTCATGTTTTGATTAGATAATTTTCTTAACAGATTATGGGAATGCTGTAGACATCAACATGCTCTTGATTTCAGCAAAGTATTTGGCAAAGTAATCCATAAAATGCTGATTATCAAGCTAGAAGGAGTGCTGCTACTGTATCAGCCTCTATGCTGCATGGCAACCTCCCTGCCTGAGCTGCTGGAGGCTGTCTCAGGGCTGGTGGTGGAGTTCCCCAGGCTTATGGTTCTGGGGGACTTCAATTTGCCATCCCTGGGACGGACCTTGGAGGCGGCTCAGGAGTTCATGGTTACCATGGCAGCCATGGGCCTGTCACAAATAGTGCGGGACCCAACCCAAGACAGTGGCCACATGCTGGATCTGGTTTTCTTGTTGGAGCAATGGCAAAGTGATCTGAGGGGAGATTTACAGCTTTCCCCGTTGTCATGGCCAGATCATGTCCTGGTGACCCTGAGTTTCTCCTATGCCAACCCCCCTCCGCAGGGAGGCAGGATCCATGCGATTGGTCCGCCCCTGGCGCCTGATAGACCTGTTAGGGTTTCAGAGGAAGCTGGGGGGGTATTCCCATGGATCTGCTGCACGATCCAGTGGAGGCCTTGGCTGCTGCTTGGAATAGGGAGGCAGCTGGGGCCTTAGATAGGATCGCACCTATGCGACCTCTCTTGCCATATCGGCCCCAACACTCCTCGTGGTTTATGGAGGAGTTGAGGGTGCTGAAGAGGGGTCAAGAGACGTCTAGAGTGCCGCTGGAGGAAGACAAAGACCAAATCCGACCGAACACAGGTTAGAGCCGCTATCAAGGCCTACACTGTGGCGATAAGAGCGGTGAAGCATCAATACTTCTCTGCCCTTAGTGCTGCCCAGCAGCCCTGTTTGGAATCGCTAGATCCCTCCTTGGTAAGGGGGATCTAGGGATTCATTTGCAGGGCCGCGCGGAGGAATTTTCAGAGCATCTGCAGGATAAAATCGCTCAGATTCATTCCAAGTTAGACTCTGAGCGTGGCACAGGGTCTGGGGAGATACCAGAGGATCATTCTTGCCGAGTTATCTGGGAATGGTTGATCCTGTTCCTGAGGAAGTGGACAGGATCCTTCAGACTGTGAAGGCCACCACTTGTCATCTGGACCCATGCCCCTCCTGGCTGGTGAAAGCAGCTCAGGAAGTGACATGCGGTTGGATTCAGGTGATAGTTAATACTTTCTTGCAGGAGGGAGTGTTCTCAGCTGCCTTTAAAGAGGCGTTGGTGCACCCCCTCCTCAAGAAACCCTCCCTGGATCCTACCATACTGGACAATTTTCATCCAGTCTCCCACCTCCCCTTTTTGAGGAAGGTGGTTGAGAAAGTGGTGGCAGCTCCAAAGGATTCTGGAGGAAACGGATTATCTGGACCCCTTCCAGTTAGGTTTCAGGCCCGGTTATGGCATTGGTCGCACTTATGGATGATCTTTGGTGGGAGCGGGATTGTGGAAGTGCGACCATCCTTGCTCTCCTTGATCTCTCAGCAGCTTTCGATACTGTCGACAATGGCATCCTGTTGGGATGATTCAGGGAACTGGGGGTGGGCAGCACGGTCTTGTGCTGGTTCACCTCCTTTCTCCAGGACTGATCCCAATCAGTGGTGATAGGGAGCAAGAGGTCCGATCCTCGGCCCCTCCTTTGTGGGGTGCCGCAGGGTTCGGTTCTCTCTTCGCTCCTTTTCAACATCTACATGAAACCGCTAGGTGAGATCATCCGTCATCATGGGATGAGGTATCAGCAGTATGCTGATGATACGCAATTATACATCTCCATCCCAGGTGAAGTAAGTGATGCTGTGACCATCCTTTCGCAGTGCCTGGAGGCTGTAAGGGTCTGGATGGGGAACAACAGGCTTCAGCTGAACCCTGGTAAGACGGAGTGGCTGTGGGTTGATGGCTCCTCTGTATCCAGGACTTTGTCATCTTTGGTGCTGGATGGGGTAGCACTGCCGCCGACAGACCCAGTGAGTAATCTGGGGGTCCTCCTGGACTCACGGCTCTACTCAAAGAGCAGGTGGCAGCCGTGGCCAGGAAGGCTTTTGCATGACTTCGGGTCGTGCACCAGTTACACCCTTTCCTGAATCGGAATGCCATTCAAACAGTCACTCATACCCTTGTTATCTCCCAGATAGACTACTGCAATGTGCTTTACATGGGGCTACCCTTGAAGCGTATCCGGAAGCTTCAGCTGGTCCACAATGCAGCCGCATGAGCTATTTTTGGGGCCCAAAGAAGGACCCATATAATACCATTGCTTCGTGAGCTGCATTGGGTACTGGTTTGCTTCTGGGTCCAATTCAAGATGTTGGTTATCACCTTTAAAGCCCTACATGGCATGAGACCAGGTTACCTGAAGGACCACCTCTCCCCCATGAGATCATCCCGTCCCACCCGATCACACAGAGAGGGCATGCTCCGGACCCCTTCAGCAAAAGAACTCTGACTAGCAGGGACCAGAAGACGGGCT